TGATATTGAAAGACGGGTGGAGAACAAAATAGGCTCAATTTCAACATTCTTAAAGAATATAAAAAAGTCTCCAACACACAGCAGACTGCATTACACGAATCTGTTGGATACAGTTGACATATTTGATCGGAGTGCCATAAGACGTAAGGTCCATCAATATTTTAAAAGGCAGGAACCTTCCACCATAGACAAAGTATTACAGGAGGGTATTAGTACTGAAGACTTACCTACTTTCAAAAGGACAACATTCTATGGGGTTGTCAAAAATGGACGCAGGAAAGTAAACGCATATTTAAACAAGAAAGATTGATATTCAAATCAAGTTGGGTACTTTATTTTGAAGGTTCATTTATACCATTTATGTATGAAAAATAATATCGCTCAAATGTTCACCACGACTGGATTTACAGACGTCCACGCGATGGTCGAAATTTTCAATGACATTTTGCAACATGGTCGGTTCTATCGCATTCATCTCGGCAATGATGTTGTTTTTAAGTTCTTGGAGAGTGGCTGGTTTGTTGACGTAGACTTTGCTTTCCAAATATCCCCATAAAAAGAAGTCCAAGGGAGTCAAATCGTACGATCTTGGTGGCCATGGCACATTTCCTCTGCGCGAAATCACGCGATCACCGAAGAAGTACTGCAATCGATGGATATTGACGTTGGTTGTGTGGCATGTTGCACCGTCATGTTGGAAATAAACATCGTCCATATCCATTCCTTCATGTTGCGGCAAAAAATAGTCCTCTATCATCACGTGATATCGCTCAGAATTGACGGTAACGGCGTCCCCGGCCGCATTTTCGAAAAAGTAAGGTCCGATGATGCCTTTTGACCACAATGCACACCACACAGTCACTTTTTGAGGATGCATCGGGTGCTCTTGATACTCACGGGGATTTTCGTTCGCCCAGATGCGGCAGTTTTGCTTGTTTACCGTCCCATTCAAAGTGAAATGCGCTTCGTCGCTGAACATGATTTTTGATGAAAAATTGGCATCAATTTGGCGGTGTTCAAGGAGCCAATCTGAGAACGTTCGGCGCGAAAAATGGTCGGCCCGACGCAGCTCTTGCGTCGATTGGATCTTGTAGGCGTGTACATTCAAATCCTTGTGGAGAATGCGGAGCAAACTGGTTCTCGAAATGCCCAATTCTTCGGATCGACGCGTTGTTGATTGTTTCGGATCGTCTCTCACACTCTCCTTCACAACAGCAATATTTTCCGGTGTGCGAACGCTCCTTGGCCGGCCAGAGCCTGGCAGATTTGCCACAAAACCTGTTGCCTCGAATTTACGCACCAGACGACAGATGGTTGTTTCGTTTGGGCGGTTGTTGCGACCGAAATGTTCACGAAGCGCGCGAAACGTGTTTTTTTATTTTTGCACCATTTTTGTAGTGCTCTTGAATAACTTTAATGCGGTCTTCAATCGAATACGACTCCATAGCGATCAATGGTATACATTCAACGAACAAAATGACATGTCGGTGACAGAAAACAAAGATGGCGTCTTTGTCAAGTTGACGTTTACTTTCCTGCGTTCCTATTGGACAACCCTACTCAAAGAACTTCATTTTGCGAATGGAAAACTGGTCATGAATGGTACTTTGATGGACAGCCAAGAGATTATTTTATGGAGAAGGATTTATTTAAAATCAATAAAGAAATAGCACGACCAGGGCGTTAAGATTTATTACTTGGATGAAACGTGGATAAATGCAGGACATGCAAAACCTAAAGTACGGGCTGACTCTGGAATTAAATCAGCAAGACAAGCCTTCTTAGATGGACTAACCACTGGCCCAAAGAAATGGACGGGAGCTCATTTGAACGATGGTTTGAAGAATCGCTCACAAGGCTTGACGACAATGCCGTCATTGTACTTGATAATGCTGCATACCACACTAGAAAAGTAGAAAAAATTCCCACAATGAGCCGTATTCATAAAAGAGAAGCATATCCTCGGAAGCGTAAGGTAAAAGTATAAGATCTTGCTTCGGAGAAAAAGGTAGAAGTATAAGCATATCCTTGTTTTCATATTCATAATGATTACCTTATACTCGCGAGGATATGCTCCAAGAAGAAGTAAAAGGTTGACTGGCATTTGTATCTTGAGCGACATGTCCTGACTTGTTCTAGCTTGTAGTTGACGTGGGAGTGTGTTCACTCAGCACCACTGACAGTTGTATTCCAGAGCTTACACAGACCGTTCAGTATTTTTACTGGATACAGTTTTTATCAAAATAATAAGCATGTCATCCTCAAGTGATGAGGAAACTATAGAAAATAATTATAATAAGGGAGTCATAAGGCATGGCTCGAATGATGTATAGTAACAAACACATTTCCCTTTTCCAACCTAATTCGAAGCCACCTTACCAAGTTTTCGAGGTATTCGGATATGTTAGAGACACTCTGTAAAGGCCATCAAAATGAAAACGTTCCCCTTGGGTCTCCGCTGTTTATCTATCACGTAACCTTGGCACACTTAGCGCTGTAGAGTGAACATCGTGCCGAGAAGACAGTGCTAATGTAAGACGGCACTGTAATAAAATAGGCGTAGCGAGGCTGCTTTTTCCGAATAATAAAAAACGATTTCGTTACGAAAATGAGCGTAACGGTCGTCGGAAGCCGGAATTCCAGAGAACGGGAACGGTTTCCTTCCTCAACTTTCCAGACTCCCGGACAGAGATATTGCCGTCATCAGTTACGGACGGATTTCCTCAATGATATTCAGTAGACAGATCGATTTGAATCGAATTAGGGTATATCTGGTCGTGTTATGTATATTAGGTTCATGCTGGGGGTATTGTGCTTCATAGTCCAGGACTATTGGACGAAAAGGAGGCTAATCTGCTGAAAAAATCCCACCTGGATGAATTTTTCACTAGAGCTTCTTTTCAATATTATAAATAATTTCTCAAAAGTCCCCATAAATCCAAGTGGAAATTTGTTGTTATGGAGGGTCAAAGGTCGCAAAAAACACTTTTTTACGTATATTTTCGGAAATATCCATTCTACGATAAAATGAGCAATTACCTTTTTTTGATCAGTTTGAAATTATCCACAAAAAAGATCTAATGCATTTTATGGTAGAGTTGATATTTTCGAAGATGAGAGACACATTTCCTTAAAGCACAAGTTTTGTCCTTTCAAATGCCGATGAGGTTTTAATCCATTTCTTTACAACCGTCTGTTTGGAGCAACATTTTAAATCCTCTCCATCTAACTATTCGATTGTGTATACAGGGTGTAAAGTTAGTAGTGCATCAGTGATAGACGGCCTCCAAACCTATCGAATGAATCCCTATATGTGTGGTCGGAAAGTTCAGGAGATATTTGCAATTTTGAGAAATATCGAAAAAAAACGGGGTAATGAACTTTCAGTCGCAATTACAACTAAACCATTATGTTTAGGGCTGTGATTTTTTTTCTGAGACGAGCTAAATGAGAAGTTTTAGAAACGGTTATGTCACTTTTTAACAGAGCTCATTAGAAGTCAACGCAAAAAGTATTTAATTAATTTTTTTTTTGTGAAAAAACTCTTCCATCCCTTGTGTATAGTGACATGATTTGGTGTAAAACAATCCCATATTTCTTGAGGCTTTTGTCTCAGTTCGGTGATTGTACAAGCAGGATGTTGTCGTTGAACCTTTTTCATCTCGTGCCACAAAGTTTCAATAGGTGACAGAACTGGACTGCTAGAAACCCATTTCAAAAGTGGTACATTATTTTCTTCCATCCATTTTACGGCCTTTTTTGAGGTCTGGCACGCTGCACCATCTTGCTGAAACACAAAACCTTGGCCGGATGTCAAACATTCTTCCATCACTGGTAAAAGCGATTCTTCTAAAATTGCAAATATTTGCTTGTATCCGCATTTCCATCAATAAAATGAAGTTTTCCTACTCCTTTTGATGACATACTGCCCCAGACCATAACGGATGCTGGAAATTTCACTTTTCTCTTCAGACAGTCAACATGGAATGCTTCATTTTTTTGGGAATAACTCTACTGCGACTGTCACCAACACAAACTTCGAATCAGTCCTCATCACTCCATTGTATTGCACACCATTGTTGAGGTGTCCATTGTCTATGTTCTTTAGCCCATCTAAGCCGATTTTTCTTTTGCAGTGGAGTTAATAGTGTCTTTTCTTTGACCTATGAACAAGTTGTGCAACTTTAGGGTTTTTAGTTCAAAACCTTAACTACCCAAAACTATTTTAAACGTATTCTGACAACTGTGATTAATACAAACAATTGTCATGGCTTTTATTTTTCACAGCCACCTATGCGTTGTAGACTTATTTTGCATTGAAATGAAAATAGGTTGATATGCTGTAATAGCAACATGTGTTATTTTTATGCTGCAAATTTGATTAGGGAGTGATAAAGTTGGTGTTTTCTACTATATATTATCAAAATATTCATTGTTAATATTTTAAACCTATAACACCCTGATAAATTTTTATTATTTGTGTTTGATAAGAAAAAAACTAAGATTTCAATAGTTGGGCCAACTGAAGTGGGAAGGGGCTCGTAGTTGTAATTGCGACTGGAAGTTCATCACCCTATGTTATTTTTCGAAACATCACAAAATTGCAAATATCTCCTGAATTATAAAAGTTCGGACCACAAATATAGCGGTTCATTCGATATGTTTTGAGACCCCCTATCACCTGACTTCCGTTTATCCACTACTTACTTTACACCCTGTGTATAGGTATTTTGGGGATAAACAATACAATGTAAACGTATAGACTAATCTATTCGACCTTGTTGGTTTGAACAGATTCTGTACTGCTAGTGTCCCAGATGACGCTTGGATATTTAATCCGTCTTTAACACCGTCTTTTGCTACCATCCTGCCAGATAACCATTCTTTTTAGGGCAACGAGCGCAGTAGAATACACATACACGCAATACTTTCACTGACACCCGCTATATCAAGTAATCCAGATGAATACCGTAAGTGAACGTGATGTTGTTTTGTTTCAGAGTGGGGCGAGGGCCACAGTGGCTTTCACGGCATGGAGGTGGAGGTCCGCGAGGAGGCCGCTGTCGCTGACAGAGCCCCCTCGCGGGAAACCACCGCACTACTGGGCAACAATACTCCTTACTATCCCATCACAGGTAACACGTCATTTAATACTAACGTATTTTTTATATGCTTTGAGTATAGTGATTAGCGAATCAAAAAATAGATTTCTTAGTCTTAGGCCCGTATCGTCAGTCATCCCTACAATTGTAGGGCGCCTTTATGGTCTCCTTGATTGTCATAGTTTTCTACTTCTCCGTGCCAACGCTCTATTTTGAGGTTATGTCACAAACACCTATTTGCATCAAATCCTGCTTGCTTTTGAGTTATATCATGTTTTATCAGCTTGAAATTTCCTACAATTTAAAAAGAAAACATAACTTCACAATAGGAGAGCACTGACACGCGTCAAGTGTAATCTAGAAATTTTTGAAGGAGAGAAAGAAATATGACAATCAAGGAGGCCATAAACGCGCCCTACAATTGTAGGGACGACTGACGATACGGGCCTTAAAGTAGAGATCGTTTATTGTGATACAAAGTTTCATACATAGTTCTTTATAAAACTTGTTTAGAAAAAAATATGTTACTGAATTTTGTTGTCAATTTTTAAGAATGTCAATAAATTCTTGTAACGCATTTCGTATTTAAAAAATAGTTATTTATTATACAAGGGAAAAAAGTACTGCGCTGCGCCTCGGGAATACAGCCTCAAGCTAAAATCTAGTATTTTTCCCGTGTATAATACACAATTTTTTTTTGTGACGGGAAAAACGATGATTTAATATTGAAAAATTATATTGTTACAATATTTAAGTCAGAAAACTATTGATGGGAAATTTGAATTTTGAAATTAGTAGGCTATGTTGTACTTATAGCGACAATTAGACCTGCGTTGCTAAGAAAACTTTTGAAGTAATCAAATAGCAATTTAATTTTGTGATTTTATTTGAAAATTGTGTACTTAGTGGTTATTTAGAAGTTATTTTTAATACTATAAAGTAAAAAATGTCTGATTCCAAGTTTTCGTTGAAGCCACCGGAATTAGTAGAAGTAGCTAAAGTCACAAAAATTATTGCCAGCTAAATATATGTTTATACAATATCCAGGAAAAAGTACTCATTTAATAAAAAGTGACATCTTATTACCTGTCAACAGAGATAAAATGTCAAACTTTTTTCCTGTCACAGAAAAAAACTGTGTTTCTGTCAAGTTCGAACTGTCATCTGTCATAATGTCAAACATCTATTCTAACCATACTTTTTGTTGCGGTTTCGGCCTGATGTTTTCTTTGCAGTTTTGCCGTCAGTTTTCGTGGTTGTCTTCTACTACCTTTGCTACCTTTTTCTTATCCCAAAACTATTGACTTTCAAATGACTGATGACTCTGGCGACCACTGTATATCTCTGCGCACTTTCAGTACTAAATTGTTCAGATCAGGTTCTGAAAATTTTGGAACTAAATTTGTTAATAAAAACTTGATTACGTAATTCAATGGACTTTTAATAACGTATCGTGACAAACTGCCTTAACACAAAGCTCAGCCAATGATATCTAAATATTTTTCCATGTATTCACTAATTTTATGTTACAAGTGCACACCGAATCATTGAAGCCTGTTAAAAAGATGGTGAATGTGCCAGTGTAGTGATGGTCGATTCTAAAAATGGTGGATGTGCTTAGTCATTTCCTACGAGAGTTCTACATCTTATTTCTACATATTTTTTTGATTTTGCTTCACAAGTTTCTATACATTCTTAAGACTATCTATGACTCCTTTTTGAATATGACTAGGTATATTATTGAAAAATCTATATTGTACGGATAAGTAGACAACACTGAAATGGACATGTTAGCTGTCCGTCTCTGTAACTACGACCCGTAGGGATCTTTCACCGCATGTAATGAAGATGAAGTTCAGCTTAGCAGACTGTTGGTAGGTGCAGATCGCCAGATTTTTCGCTTACCTCCGCAGAGTATTTTGAGCTTTTCAAATGACCATACCCATCCTTAGTCCTAAAGTAGAGATCGTTTATTGAGATACAAAGTTTCATACATAATTCTGTATAAAACTTGTTAGGTAAAGATATATTACTGAATTTTGTTGTCATTTTTTAAAAATGTTAATAAATTCTTGTAATACATTTCGTATGGGGTAAAAGATAGTTATTTATTGTACAACGGAAAAGAGTAAGTCAGTTTCCCGTGTATAAAACACAATTTTTTCTGTGAAGTGAAAAACGACGATTTGATATTGAAAAATTGTATTATTACAATATTTAAGTCAGAGAATTATCGATGTGAAACTTGAATTTTGAAATTAGTACACTATGTCATACTTATAGCGACAATTAGACCTGCGTTGCTAAGGAAACTTTTAAAGTAATCAAATAGCTGTCAATTTAATTTTGTTTGAAAATTGTAAACTTAGTGGTTGTTTAGAAGTTATTTTTTATACTATAAAGTAAAAAATGTCTGATTCTGAATTTTATTTGACACCACCGGAATTAGTAGAGGTAGCCAAAGTCACAAAAATGATTGCCAGCTAAATATATGTTTATACAATATCCAGGAAAAAAGTACTCATTTCTTCCCCGGGGAAAAAAGTGATTTCATAAAAAGTGACATTTTATTACCTGTCAACAGTCAAAATGTCAAACTTTTTTCCCGTCACAGAAAAAACTACATTTCTGTCATGTTTGAACTGTCATCTGTCATAATGTCAAACTTCTATTCTAACCATACTTTTTGTTGCGGTGTCGTCCTGATGTTTTCTTTGCAGTTTTGCCGTCAGTTTTCGTGGTTTTCTTCTAATGCTGTTGCTACCTTTTTCTTATCCCAAAACTATTGGCTTTCAAATGACCGATGTCTGCAGCGATCACTGTATATCTCTGCGCACTTTTGGTACTAAATTTTTTAGAACAGGTTTTGAAAATTTTGTCACTAAATTTGTTCAAAAAAACCTATGTACGTAATTTAATGGAGTTTTAATAACGTATAGTGACAAAATGCCTTAACACCTAGATTAGCCAATGAATATCTAGATATTCTTCCACGTATTCACTGATTTTATGAAACAAGTGCACACTGAATCATGGTAGCCTGTTCAAACGATGGTGAATGTGCCAATACAGCGATGCTCGTTTTTTAAAAAAATGGTGGATGTGCTTGGTCATTTCCTACGAGAGTGCTGTTATACATATTATTTATACATATTTTTTTATATCTTTCTTCACAAGTTTCTATACATTTTTAAGACTCTCTATGACTCCTTTTTTGAATATCAGTGTCGAGGTATATAATTGAAAAATCTATATGGTTGGATGAGTAGACAGCACTGAAATAGACATGTTTGCTGTCCGTCTCTGTAACTACGACCCGATAGCCTGTTAAAAGGATGGTGAATGTGCCAGTGTAGTGATGGTCGTTTCTAAAAATGATGGATTTCCTACAAGACTGCTGTTCTACATATTATTTCTACATATTTTTTTTATTTTTCTTCGCAAGTTTCTATACATTCTTAGGACTCTCTATGACTCCTTTTTTGAATATAACTGTCTAATCTATATGGTTGGATGAGTAGACAACACTGAAATAGACATGTTAGCTGTCGGCCTCTGTAACTACGACCCGTATGTAATGAAGATGAAGATCAGCTTATCAAACTGTTGGTAGGTGAAGATCGCCAGATTTTTCGCTTACCTCCGCAGAGCATTTTGAGTTTTTCAAACGACCATACTCGGGTTCAGGATTACTAGACCTAGACCGCACTGACAAGTTGCTAATGAGTACGAAACAGCGCAGTTTGTGGTTACTCGTAGTTACACAGACGGAAAGCAAGCGTGCCCATTAAAAAAACATGTGTTACTGAGTGTCGTGAACTTTTGTTCTTGTTGTACGTTTTTTAGTTGTGTGTTTCCATTTCGAAAACTTTGTCGATACGTATGGGTGCGCTTCAGTCATATCTCTCAAAGTAACCACTTACTTGACATCGGCGTGCATTGGGAGTTGTCCTGTTACATCAATCTTCAATATAAAATTGTACAATGCCCGGAAATGCGATCAATGGAGAATGCCGACAGCTCGTGCTGAATTTATTAGACTATTCCCAGGAAGAGAATGACAACAGCGGTCCCGTTATCCACTTCATGCGTACTGGAGTTAGCTGGGAAAATTAGGATATGGCGTTGATGATGTAAGCGGTGACTCCAACTATAATATATTCATCATTTGTCACAATGTCAAAAATTTATTCTAACCTCACTTTTTGTTGCGGCTCCAGTCAGACGTTTTCTTTGCCCAAAAGCACACCCGATTGTCAAATAAGTGTATGTCTCTGCGCACTTGTATCAAATCACTTAGACCGGGTTATAAAAAATATTGCACTATGCAGATAAAACTAAAGTCTACAATACGACATTGAGCTTCGCTGTGATCCAGAAGGACCTAAAACTTATTGGAAAGTTTTCTGAACTTTGGCCCCTGGCTTTGAGAAAATCTACACTCCCCACTTCTTTAATCTGTCACAATTACTAGATTTTCCTCTAACTAGAAAATAGAATACGTGGTTCCTACATGATGGCGCTTCATCACGTTTTAGACGAAAAGTTCATGAATATCTAAATAATGAGTTTCCGACAGGCCGCAATGGACCCACTTCTTGGCCTGCTCGCTCCCCAAATTTAACGCCTTGCGATTTTTTTTGTGGGGCTATTTGAGACAGTTGGTGTATCATGATGGAGCAGTAAATACTCTGGAAGAACTTCAGCAGCGCACTGAAAATGCTTGTGATTCAATTCCTGGACAGCAGGATTTTATCTTCGAGGCTTGTGGAGACTCTTGGATTCGCTGAGCAATATTTTACGTCAATCTAACAAATGACGACAATTTTGAATACTTTTGAAAAACGGTATCTATTTAACTTGATAATGATTTTTTTTAAATAATTTAACAATGTAAACTAATTCCCTTAATCTGCAACTTTTATCTAGCTGATTTTTGGTAAAACAACATTTTTTGACGAGTTGTAGAAGCTGTTAAAATAAATGACTCAACTTTGAAAACACTCTGTATAATATAAATTTTCTGTGGTTTT